AGTGGTTGTGCAAATAGTGGATGAGCATCATTGAGTGTGTATGAGCTCTGAATCAACAAAAAGCCCTCCTGCCCTTCAGTTTATGAGTACAGAACGGACCAAAAGCACATGATACAACACATCCAACCTTAGGGCCTCCAACATCTTTTCAGCATTTCATTACATTTTAGTCATTTACATTTTATCTCATTCACCTACACACACTCTTTGAATAGGTTTCAATAGCTCCATCTGTTTTTAAAGCTTAAATGATAGTCATTAGTATTATGAATTTGTTTTAGAGGACACAGGACTACTCAGGTAGCAGCTTTACAAGCTTTACCAGCCTGGTCTCATAGACTTAACGTAACATATTAAAGTAAATCCGGGACACTCAAATTAGTATGATATGTTACGTTTTGGGTATGGTTACATAAGACAGATGGTTACTTAAGGCAAAAACAAAAGTAGGGAGGGTGGGCGTATAACGCGAAGGTCTAGCGACCCAAAGGTTGCAAGTTCGAATCTCATCATTAACAACTTTAGCATTTTAGCTAATTAGCAACATTTCAACTATTTACTACTTTTTAGATACTTTGCAACTTGCTTTTAGCTAACCTTTCCCCTAACCTTAACCCTTTTAGCTAACCCTTCCCCTAATGCTATTATCTTTAGCTAGGCCTCCCTGTTTTTTTGTTATTAATAAAAGTGTCATCATATATTCCCCATTTGCACAAGGCTACTAGTAGGCTACTTTTGCCTTCTTGCAATGCAATACTTCAACCACTAGAAACTGTGCACAAGCATGGTCTAAAGTTTGGGGGAGGATAAGCACATTCTCACATCAAGTTCAGTTTTTATAAAAGCCAACTTTTGCAAACTGGTGCACGCATGTTTTAGGACACATTTTGTGGTTATGCAACGTTTATAAATGAGCCCCAGGTCTCCAGATAGTCTACCATGAGGGCTGCCTCATATACCAGTAGCTACAAGGCCAAAATCCCCGTAATTCGCATGAGAAAGAGACGGAGAAATCGTGGACGTAGGTCGGGTGCCTTGTAAGGATCCAATGGCGAGCGAGTAAACTGCCTCTTCCATCAATCTTATTAGTGAATGTTCAATCATTTGAAAATAAATTGGACGACCTAAGATCAAGGTTATCCTACCAACGGGAAATTAAAAACTGTAATATCTTATGTTTCACCGAGTCGTGGCTGAACGACGACATGGACAACATTCAGCTGGCGGGATATACGCTACATCGGCAGGATAGAACGGCTGACTCTGGTAAGACAAGGGGTGGCGGTCTGTGTATACTTGTAAACAACAGCTGGTGCATAAAATCTAATACTGAGGAAGTCTCGAGGTTTTGCTCGCCTGAGGTAGAATATCTCATGATAAGCTGTTGACCACACTATTTACCAAGATAGTTTTAATCTATATTTTTTGTAGCTGTCTATTTACCACCACAAACCGATGCTGGCACTAAGACTGCACTCATTGAGCTGTATAAGGCCATAAGCAAACAGGAAAACGCTCATCCAGAGGCAGCTCTCCTAGTGGCCGGGGACTTTAATGCAGGGAAACTTAAATCCGTTCTACCTAATTTTTACCAGCATTTTAAATGTGCAACCAGAGAAGAAAAAATACTCTAGACCACCTTTACTCCACACACAGAGACGCGTACAAAGCTCTCCCTCGCCCTCCATTTGGCAAATCTGACCATAACTCTATCCTCTATTCCTGCTTATAAGCAAAAACTAAAGCAGGAAGCACCAGTGACTCGGTTAATAAGGAAGTGGTCAGATGACACATATGCTAAGCTACAAGACTGTTTTGCTAGCACAGACTGGAATATGTTCCGGGATTCTGCTGATAGCATTGAGGAGTACACCACATCAGTCACTGGCTTCATCAATAAGTGCATCGATGACGTCGTCCCAACACTGACCGTACGAACATACCCCAGCCTGAAGCCATGGATTACAGGCAACATCCGCACTGAGCTAAAGGGTAGAGTTGCCGCTTTCAAGGAGAAGGACTCTAAACCGGACGCTTAAAGGAAATCCCGCTATGCCCTCCAACGAACCATCAAACAGGCAAAGAGTCAACATAGGACTAAGATTGAATCATACTACACCGACTCCAACGCTCGTCGGATGTGGCAGGGCTTGAAAACTATTACAGACTACAAAGGGAAGCACAGCCGCGAGCTGCCCAGTGACACAAGCCTAACAGACGAGCTAGATCACTTCTATGCTCGCTTCGAGGCAAGCAACACTGAAGGATGCATGAGAGCATCAGCTGTTCCGGACGACTGTGTGATCACGCTCTCCGTAGCCGATGTGAGTAAGACCTTTAAACAGGTTAACATTCACAAGGCCGCAGGGCCAGTCGGATTACCAGGACGTGTACTCCGAGCATGCACTGACCAACTGGCAAGTGTCTTCACTGACATTTTCAACCATGTCCCTGACTGAGTCTTTAATACCAACATGTTTCAAGCAGACCACCATAGTCCCTGTGCCCAAGAACACTAAGATAACCTGCCTAAATGACTACAGACCCATAGCACCCACGTCTGTAGCCATGAAGTGCATTGAAAGGCTGGTCATGGCTCACATCAACACCATTATCCCAGAAACCCTAGACCCACTCCAATTTGCATACTGCTCCAACAGATCCACATATGGTGCAATCTCTATTGCACTCCACACTGCCCTTTCCCACCTGGACAAGTGGAACACCTATGTGAGAATGCTAATCATTGACTACAGGTCAGCGTTCAACACCATAGTGCCCTCAAAGCTCATCACTAAGCTAAGGGCCCTGGGACTAAACACCTCTCTCTGCAACTGGATCCTGGACTTCCTGACGGGCCGCCCCCAGGTGGTAAGGGTAGGTAACAACACATCTGCCACGCTGATCCTCAACACAGGGGCCCCTCTGGGGTGCGTGCTCAGTCCCCTCCTGTACTCCCTGTTCACTCATGACTGCATGGCCAGGCATCACCAACAAACTGTCATGGTCCAAACACACCAAGACAGTCGTGAAGAGGGCACGACAAAGCCTATTCCCCTTCAGGAAACTGAAAAGATTTGGCATAGGTCCTCAGATCCTCAAAGAATTATACAGCTGCATCCTGACTGGTTGCATCACCGCCTGGTATGGCAACTGCTCTGCCTCCGACCGCAAGGCACTACAGAGGGTAGTGCGTACAGCCCAGTACATCACTGGGGCCAAGCTTCCTGCCATCCAGGACCTCTATACCAGGCGGTGTCAGAGGAAGGCCCTAAAAATTATCAAAGACTCCAGCCACCCTAGTCATAGACTTTTCTCTCTGCTACCGCATGGCAAGCGGTACCGGAGTGCCAAGTCTAGGTCCAAAAGGCTTCTTAACAGCTTCTAAACCCCAAGCCATAAGACTCCTGAACAGCTAATCATGACTACCCGGACTATTTGCTGGGGTCTTTACAAGCGTGGGTGTCTTGTAAAAGAACAGCTAAATCACGAATACAGAAGTGCCAGTATGAAAAAGAGGTAGTTGATTTTTGTGTCTGTCTATCAATGACTAGGTTTATTTTTGTCATTTATGATTTTTGGTTAGTCCTCCTTCTGTGTTGCTCTGTGAGTGCTCCACTGTCTGAAGTAGTAGGTGACAGTGAAGGGTGTAACACTGCCCTGTTCAGGCTGTAAGAAACATGACAGGTGTAGCCAAGCTGTCTCCACTCAGCAATTTGACCCACTTAATAGTCCACTGCACCTAGTAAAGACACATTGCATGCAACAATCAACTGTCTAGCTTTAGATAAACAGTGAGTGCAAACCTTTGAATGGATATGACATGTTTGTAATTATGCATTAGGTATTATAGTTTCCATAATTGAAACCTCACAATAACTTGTGAATGATTTGTACAGTTACTATGGCAAACTGATCAAGCCAAACAGAGACTTAAAAGAAGAGTACAAGCTGGAGACAACATGATATAGGGAGTAGAGACCAGGGGACCCTGGGCCAGTGTCTCTATGGAGGCCCCCAAGCCCAGAAAGTGTGTCCATCTGGGGCAGAGGGAGGAGTGAGATCAGCGCGCTGATGGAAGCCCAACACAATGCATTGACAGTGGTGAGGGAAACCAGCTGTAATCATCGGTCTGTCAAAGATAAGGAAAATATACACAGCCACATTTCAACTAATAGAGGTTTCTTGCATTTCTGCTACACTTATGAGTGCAGCATTTATTTTCCACTGGACTCAGCAGCAGATATAATATAGGCTATGGGTGTACTGTATAGCTTGCACTCCCAGTAGATTCAGCCTTTGTGTGTATACTGTATGTATGTATAAAGTGTGCTGAAAAAGTCATGAGGTCACACTTGAAAATGTCAGATGGTCGAATATTTGAATACTGAGGCTAGGCATTAACATTTCATGTTTGCTCTTTTGGTCCTGGGCTGAAGTGGTCAAGGTAGAGGCTTCAGTTACACTCCCAAGGGTTTGTGAACTTCATGACATATTTATCTGCTGTGCACATTAGGCCTACATGAAGATGTAATGATGTTATATTTTTCCCTTAGAGTGTCTAGCAGCATGTCATGTTATTTACTTGTTAGTACTCTGGTAATTGTTCAGCGTCATTGTCACAGCAATGTGTTTTGTTGTGACTGAATACAGTACTTTGCACAACTTGGTTAGAACACTGTATTGCTACATGTACCCTAAACCCCATGTAGATGGATGGAGTTGTGTTTTCCCTCCTCAGATTCAGACCCTCTAGGAGAGAGAGACCCCCGTAAACACCGGCAGAGCAGAGCCCTGTGCCAGCGACGCACTCAAATGCTCCTGAACCTCACCACAGAAAAGGGCCAACAGCAAATACCATGTAGGCCTACACGCAGAACCCTCAGACACTTAACACTCTGACTAGCCATTCATACTAAACACAGACGTGGCCTACAGTAACACTTAAACAGTTTATAAAGTAAGTGGTTTTTACAGCCATTGTATCTGACTGTGTGTTTATGATCGTGTGTGTATCAGTGCCACCTGGTGAGGGAAGAGTGAGGCGCAGCTTGCGCAACCTGCCCATCATCAACCCAGCGAGACTGCGGACAGGCGAAGTACTGGTGGACAAAGCTGTAAAGGTAAGAATCTAAAATAGCACAACCCTTCTGTCCATATACTGTATATGATGCTTAAGATATAAATGGTATCTATCTACATGGCCTTATCGCATCGCTCTCTCTCTCTCAGATGCGTAAGGTGTTCTCCATACAGGGTCCATACCCTGTGATTCGGGCTGCCCTGAGGGCGAGGGGATGGGTAGAGCGTTGTCTACCACGTCCAAACCAGTACTGGAGCAGTCGCCGTGGAGATGAGGAGGATGACGCTGACGACTAGTTATGATGACAATGGTGAGGCAGGAGGGCCACTGCAAATTGTAGTAATTTATTCTCACCAGTTTGTTAATCATCATTGACCATTAGCCTGAAGACTAGATTTGAATCTCCCTGTATGCTCTGCTTAGACAGCAAGACCCAGATGACTTCATGGTAATAAAGGGAAAGGGGATACCTAGTCAGTTGCACAACTGAATGCATTCAACTGAAATGTGTCTTCTGCATTTAACCCAACCCCTCTGAATCAGAGAGGTGTGGGGGGCTGCCTTCATGGATGTCATTGGCGCCCGGGGAGCAGTTGTTGTTGGGGGTTAACTGCCTTGCTCAAGGACAGATTTTTCCACCTTGCCGGCTCTGGGAATCGAACCAGCGATCTTTCGGTTACCGGCCCAATGCGCTTAACCGCTAGGCTACCGTGTGTGTGTGTGTGTGTGTGTGTGTGTGTGTGTGTGTGTGTGTGTGTGTGTGTGTGTGTGTGTGTGTGTGTGTGTGTGTGTGTGTGTGTGTGTGTGTGTGTGTGTGTGTGTGTGTGTGTGTGTGTGTGTGTGTGTGTGTGTGTGTGTGTGTGTGTGTGTGTGTGTGTGTGTGTGTGTGTGGCTTATATTTTCATATGATCAAGCACACAGTTTTTTGTGGCTTTTCCCTTCTCATCTTTTTTACAGTCTCGCATGGTGAGGACGAAACGTCATATTTCTATTGGGCGACACATTGAGAGACAATCGACAACTGCTCATTGTGATAGGAGCAGATTACCATGCCAAAGTAGGCACCTTCACCACCAAGGTTTGATGGCTTTCACAGGGGGGACCCTGAAAATAATAAAGTCGTTACCTTTTCACTGGGATCATTTGGTTTGATGATGCAGACCCTGACTCCTTCTACCCACGCTGCTACAGGCTGGGGGCAGAGGATGAGAAACATGACTTTATCGGTCAGAATCCTCACCGATCTCCATCCCAAACCCTCTTTCTTTGATGTTCGTATTTGGCGCCGGAGAAGATGGCTGCCGTTTTACAAACCTCTAACCAATTGTACTATCATGTGTGTTTCTTTTCGTGTTATTTGTAATTTATTCTGTACATAATGTTTCTGCTACCGTCTCTTATGACCAAAACGAGCTTCTGGATATCAGGACAGTGATTACTCACCTCGTATTGGACGAAGATCTTCTCTTCAATGAGTCGGACGCGAAGGATATCCTACAGACACCCAACCAGGCCCAAATCCTTGTCATTCGCATGAGAAAGAGACAGAGATATCGTGGACGTAGGTCAGGGAGCCTTGTAAGCATCCGACTGCGAGCGAGTAAACTGCCTCTTCCATCAATCCTATTAGCCAATGTTCAATCATTTGAAAATAAATTGGACGACCTAAGATTAAGGTAATCCTACCAACGGGACAAAACTGTAATATCTTATGTTTCACGAGTCGTGGCTGAACGACGACATGGATAACATACAGCTGGGGGGATATACGCTACATCGGCAGGATAGAACGGCTGACTCCGGTAAGACAAGGGGTGGCGGTCTGTGTATATTTGTAAACAACAACTGGTGCATAAAATCTAATACTAAGGAGGTCTCGAGGTTTTGCTCTCTTGAGGTAGAGTATCTCATGATAAGCTGTACACCACAATATTTACCAAGATAGTTTTCATCTATATTTTTCATAGCCGTCTATTTACCATCACAAACCGATGCTGGCACTAAGATTGCACTCATTGAGCTGTATAAGGCCATAAATAAACAGGAAAACGCTCATCCAGAGGCAGCGCTCCTAGTGGCCGGGGACTTTAATGCAGGAAAACATAAATCCGTTCTACCTAATTTCTACCAGCATTTTAAATGTGCAACCAGAGGAGAAAAAAAAACTAGACCACCTTTACTCCACACACAGAGATGCGTACAAAGCTCTCCCTCGCCCTCCATTTGGCAAATCTGACCATAACTCTATCCTCCTGATTCCTGCTTATAAGCAAAAACTAAAGCAGGAAGCACCAGTGACTCGGTTAATAAGGAAGTGGTCAGATAACGCAGATGCTAAGCTACAGGACTGTTTGCTAGCACAGACTGGAATATGTTCCGGGATTCTTCCAATAGCATTGAGGAGTATACCACATCAGTCACTGGCTTCATCAATAAGTGCATCGATGACGTTGTCCCCACTGTGACCGTACGTACATACCCCAACCAGAAGCCATGGATTACAGGCAACATCCGCACTGAGCTAAAGGGTAGAGCTGCCGCTTTCAAGGAGCGGGACTCTAACCCGGAAGCTTATAAGAAATCCTGCTATGCCCTCCGACAAACCATCAAACAGGCAAAGAGTCAATGGAGGACTAAGATTGAATCGTACTACACCAGCTCTGACGCTCGTCAGATGTGGCAGGGCTTGAAAACTATTACAGACTACAAAGGGAAGCACAGCCGCGAGCTGCCCAGTGACTGCTCACATCAACACCATTATCCCAGAAAGCCTAGACCCACGGCAATTTGCATACCGCCCCAACAGATCCACAAATGATGCAATCTCTATTGCACTCCACACTGCCCTTTCCCACCTGGACAAGAGAAACACCTATGTAAGAATGCTATGCATTGACTACAGCTCAGCGTTCAACACCATAGTGCCCTCAAAGCTCATCACTAAGCTAAGGACCCTGGGACTAAACACCTCCCTCTGCAACTGGATCCTGGACTTCCTGACGGGCCGCCCCCAGGTGGTAAGGGTAGGTAACAACACATATGCCACGCTGATCCTCAACACAGGGGCCCCTCAGGGGTGCATGCTCAGTCCCCTCCTGTACTCCCTGTTCACCCATGACTGCAGTCACGGCCAGTCACGGCTCCAACACCATCATTAAGTTTGCCGACGACACAACAGTGGTAGGCCTGATCACCGACAATGATGAGACAGCCTATAGGGAGGAGGTCAGAGATCTGTCCGTGTGGTGCCAGGATAACAACCTCTCCCTCAACGTGATCAAGACAAAGGAGATGATTGTGGACTACAGGAAAAAAAGTGGACTGATTACGCCCCCATTCTCATTGACGAGGCTGTAGTGGAACAGGTTAAGAGCTTCATTTCCTTGGTGTCCACATCATCAACTATCATGGTCCAAACACACCAAGACAGTCGTGAAGAGGGCACGACAAAGCCTATTCCGCCTGAGGAGACTGAAAAGATTTGGCATGGGTCCTCAGATCCTCAAAAAGTTATACAGCTGCACCATCGAGAGCATCCTGACTGGTTGCATCACCGCCTGTTATAGCAACTGCTCGGCCTCCGACCGCACGGCACTACAGAGGGTAGTGCGTACAGCCCAGTACATCACTGGGGCCAAGCTTCCTGCCATCCAGGACCTCTATACCAGGCGGTGTCAGAGGAAAAATGATCAAAGACTCCAGCCACCCTAGTCATAGACTGTTCTCTCTGCTACCGCACGGTCCAAAAGGCTTCTTACCAGCTTCTACCCCCAAGCCATAAGACTCCTGAACAGCTAATCATGGCTACCCGGACAATTTGCAGGGAGAATTGAAAATTCCCAAAACAATTAATTTAGCAGTATATATTTTGCTATTATGTTTGAGCAAAAGAACACAGGATTAGCCATGGCAAAACGCATTGAATTGCAGGAAATTTGCTTTAAAACTGCAAAATGTTCTCTCAGCTCCATGGCAGAATATGTAGAATTGCATGAAATTCGCTTTAAAATTGCAACATTTCCTCTCAGCTGCATGGCAAAATTTGCAAAATTGCAAGAAATTTGCTTAAAAATGCTAAAATTTCTCATAACTCCATGGAGAAATTTCAGAAAATGTTCTCAAAAATTCAGGCGCACCGACTGGCTTACAACTCCTTTGGAAAAAGGTCAACCTTTTGCTGTGAGCCAATGGGGTAACCAAGGTAACCATGGGTTGTTTTCCCCCAAGGAGGGGTTGGGCCGTGACATTCTATCATAGGGCGAGTTCGTTTTCCATGGCACGGCATACAAACTCCGCCTACCCATGCAAAACGAACTCGCCCATACTGACTGTGAGTATACAGTGAGGGAAAAAAGTATTTCATCCCCTGCTAATTTTGTATGTTTGACCACTGACAAAGACCTGATCAGTCTATAATTTTAATGGTAGGTTTATTTGAACAGTGAGAGACAGAATAACAACAAAAATATCCAGAAAAACGCATGTCAAAAATGTTATAAATTGATTCGCATTTTAATGAGGGAAATAAGTATTTGACCCCTCTGCAAAACATGACTTAGTACTTGGTGGCAAAACCTTGTTGGCAATCACAGAGGTCAGACGTTTCTTGTAGTTGGCCACCAGGTTTGCACACATCTCAGGAGGGATTTTGTCCCACTCCACTTTGCAGATCTTCTCCAAGTCATTAAGGTTTCGAGGCTGACGTTTGGCAACTCGAACCTTCAGTTCCCTCCACAGATGTTCTATGGGATTAAGGTCTGGAGACTGGCTAGGCCACTCCAGGACCTTAATGTGCTTCTTCTTGAGCCACTCCTTTGTTGCCTTGGCCGTGTGTTTTGGGTCATTGTCATGCTGGAATACCCATCCACAACCCATTTTGAATGCCCTGGATGAGGGAAGGAGGTTCTCACCCAAGATTTGATGGTACATCGTCCCTTTGATGCGGTGAAGTTGTCCTGTCCCCTTAGCAGAAAAACACCCCCAAAGCATAATGTTTCCACCTCCATATTTGACGGTGGGGATGGTGTTCTTGGGGTCATAGGCAGCATTCCTCCTCCTCCAAACACGGCGAGTTGAGTTGATGCCAAAGAGCTCGATTTTGGTCTCATCTGACCACAACACTTTCACCCAGTTCTCCTCTGAATCATTCAGATGTTCATTGGCAAACTTCAGACGGGCCTGTATATGTGCTTTCTTGAGCAGGGGGACCTTGCGGGCGCTGCAGGATTTCAGTCCTTCACGGCGTAGTGTGTTACCAATTGTATTCTTGGTGACTATGGTCCCAGCTGCCTTGAGATCATTGACAAGATCCTCCCGTGTAGTTCTGGGCTGATTCCTCACCGTTCTCATGATCATTGCAACTCCACGAGGTGAGATCTTGCATGGAGCCCCAGGCTGAGGGAGATTGACAGTTATTTTGTGATTCTTCCATTTGCGAATAATCGCACCAACTGTTGTCACCTTCTCACCAAGCTGCTTGGCGATGGTCCTGTAGCCCATTCCAGTCTACAATCTTGTACCTGACATCCTTGGAGAGCTCTTTGGTCTTGGCCATGGTGGAGAGAATCTGATTGATTGATTGCTTCTGTGGACAGGTGTCTTTTATACAGGTAACAAGCTGAGATTAGGAGCACTCCCTTTAAGAGTGTGCTCCTAATCTCAGCTTGTTACCTGTATAAAAGACACCTGGGAGCCAGAAATCTTTCTGATTGATAGGGGGTCAAATACTTATTTCCCTCATTAAAAAGCAAATCAATTTATAATTTTTTTTACATGCGTTTTCTGGATTTTGTTGTTGTTATTCTGTCTCTCACTGTTCAAATAAACCTACCATTACAATTATAGACTGATCATTTCTTTGTCAGTGGGCAAACGTACAAAATCAGCAGGGGATCAAATACTTTTTTCCCTCACTGTAGATGCCATTTTCGGACCATTCTGGAACTTAAGGTTTATGACATATCCCCTCTAGTAATTTAATAGGATTTCTATGGATGTCACCTAGTTACATAAGTATTTGTTGTTATTGGCAGTGAAACGTGAAAAGGTAGATAGCTAAACATATTTTGTTCCATAGGTCGAGGCCCTGGCTGATAGAGATCAACCCCAGCCCCACCATGGCCCCCTCTACAACAGTGACAACACGCCTGTGTGCTGCCGTGCAGGGGGACACTCTCCGGGTGGTCCTGGACCGCTGGCTGGACCGAGGGGCACATACTGGGGGCTTTCAGCTTACATACAAAAAGGTGACGTATGTGCTTTTTAGTGAGGAAAGGAAAGTTTAATGTACCCCTGAATTAGCCTGGCTGACGCTACCAATGATTTATTTATACACTAGATGACTGACAGGGGGCACTGTTTTGAAGCCTCCGCGCCTCCATCTTGGCAGTCCCCCACCGTTGTAAAATATATTTTGGAGGCTATAGAAATGCATTTATTAATGTCAATTGTTTTTGCCACGTTTATTCTATTACAGACACCTTAATGCATACTTTTTAATGATATTATGTAAGCTAAACATAAAAGAAAAGGAAAAAGTAAAGTTCTAATGTTATTGTCCCCACTACAACAACAAAAAATACTTAAATACATGTCATTTTGTCCTTGAAACATTTACTTGAAATACTGTAGAATTTTTATCATTCCTATGGAGGACTGTTTTTTCTGGGGACTACCAATATGGCCGACCAGTGGTTTCAAAGCCTCTCATTGACCAATACATAGCATCAGCAATCAAGGGTTTATTGGTACTTTCAAGACTGGGAACTCTGGGAAAAGAAAACTAGGCCAAATCATGACGTCAGAGCTCTTCGGGTCAGAGAGTTGGAGCTCTAGAAAGATGTTATCTTGGAAAGCTGTGGGTTTTTTTCTGGATCAAAAAGGGGCTTAGGTGGTGGGTGTGGCGGGGGGCGTGGTAGGCCAGTCGGAGCAGGTTTTCATCAAGGATCTCTCTGTACTTTGCTCTGTTCATCTTTCCCTCGATCCTGACTGACACCACCATACTTAGGGATGGGGGATGACAGGTTTCCTCCAGACGTGACGTTTGGCATTCAGGCCAAAGAGTTCAATCTTGGTTTCATCAAACTAGAGAATCCTGTTTCTCATGGTCTGAGAGTCTTTAGGTGCCTTTTGGCAAACTCCAAGCGGGCTGTCATGTGCGTTTTAATGAGGAATGGCTTCCGTCTGGCCACTCTACCGTAAAGGCCTGATTGGTGAGGTGCTGCAGAGATGGTTGTCCTTCTGGAAGGTTCTCCCATCTCCACAGAGGAACTCTGGGAGCTCTGTCAGAGTGACCATCGGGTTCTTGGTCACCTACCTGACCAAGGCCCTTCTCCCCCTATTGCTCATTTTGGCCGGGCGGCCAGCTCTAGGAAGAATCTTGGTGGTTCCAAACTTCTTCCATTTAAGAATGATGAAGGCCACTGTGTTCTTGGGGACCTTCAATACTGCAGACAATTCCTTCGACCTCATGGCTTGGTTTTTGCTCTGACATACACTGTCAACTGTGGGACCTTATATAGACAGGTGTGTGCCTTTCCGAATCATGTCCAATCAATTGATTTTACCACAGATGGACTCCAAGTTATAGAAACATCTCAAGGATGGTCAATGGAAACAGGATGCACCTGAGCTCAATTTCGAGTCTCATAGCAAAGGGTCTGAATACTTATGTAAATAAGGTATTTCTGTTTTTTATTTTTAATACATTTATTTATTTATTCTAAAAACCTGTTTTCGCTTTGTCATTATGGGGTATTGTGTAATTTAATCAATATTAGAATAAGGCTGTAACGTAACAAAATGTGGAAAAGGTCAAGGGGTCTGAATACTTTCCGACTGCACTGTATATATCATTGGACGCGACCCACGTGAGTCACAGCGTAGGGAGATCTGTGACACACTGATCTGGGAAGGAGGCCGTTTGTTAATGCAATATTCACTCAGAAATTGTGCGACAGGTTTGATTGGTTCTCTCAAATGTTATTTTTCTTCCTCTGGGGTTGAGACCTCTCGCTGTTTGGATTTGAAAATTCAACCATTGGCTGTGTGTGGATGTGTGTGTGGGTGTTTGAGTGAGAAAAACACAGAGGAGAGCCAACCAGTAAAAGCACAACCCCATTCATTATCGACTCATTGTGCCGACACCAAAGATCCATTCCAGACTCTGAAGTCAGGAGGACTTTGAGAGTTAGATTTTAGCCAGACTACCCCTGCCCTTAATAAGAGGTTATACAGATGTTCTCTCTCGCTCTCTGTCTATAGGCAGCAGTGGAGGTGCCACAGTATGTGGGGGTCAACCTCGTTGTTGAGGGCTCTTGGATCAAATGGCCCTGCCATCGTCCTCAAAAAACATCAAATTCCTCAGAGCCTCGAACAAACCAACCAGCGCCCATTGGGATCCCCAAAGCAAGGAGAACGCGGCTGTGGCAGAGAAACCCAAGCCAGCCTCCTCTAAGAGGTGGCTGATGGCTGTGGTACGACACCTCACCTTCTCTGGCATCAGAGTCCAGTCCCCAATGTCTCCTGAGAGGCCCCTGGCCGGGGAGTCCTGGAGGTTGCAGCATCTGGGCCTGGGCCTTGTCAACTCCCTCCAGCTGCCACCCAGTCCCGTTCCATGGACTGCTGGCGGAGACCCCAGGTTATAAGGCCCCGGTCAGGGCGAGCACCCCCATGCTGCCCGATAGTTACAAAAGCAATTTCCTTCCCCTGGAGATTATCAGCCTTCAAGACCCAGACAAGGAGCCCCCTGCCCTGCTTGTGCCCACTCCTCTGGTACTCAATGCTGGGATCAGGTTCCAAAACTTCTCCAGGCACCAGAACCTCAACCATAGGGTGATCAGTACCACATGTGTAGGGAGGGGAACTTACAAGAGCTCTTGACATGAGGGTATTGGACCATTCACCGACTATGGCTGCCTAATTTTCAACTTTTCATCACTGTCAAATGCTCCCTAAAACACTTTAGCGAACAGGCCTTCCTAATTGACCTGGCCCAGGTATCCTGGATGGATATCGATCTCATTCCGTCAGTAGAGGATGCCTGGTTGTTCTTTAAAAGTAATTTCCTCTCAATATTAAATAAGCATGCCCCATTCAAAAAATACAGAACTAAGAACAGATATAGCCCCTGGTTCTCCTCAGACTTGACTGCCCTTGACCAGCACAAAAACATCCTGTGGCGTACTGCATTAGCATCGAATAGCCCCTGCGATATGCAACTTTTCAGGGAAGTTAGGAACCAATATACACAAGCAGTTAGGAAAGCAAAGGCTAGCTTTTTCAAACAGAAATTTGCATCCTGTAGCACTAACTCCAAAACGTTTTGGGACACTGTAAAGTCCATGGAGAATAAGAGCAGCTGCCCACTGCACTGAGGCTAGGAAACACTATCACCACCGATAAATCTACAATAATTGAGAATTTCAACAAGCATTTTGCTACGGCTGGCCATGCTTTCCACCTGGCTACCACTACCCTGGCCTCCAGGTCTGCACCCTCCACTGCAACTTACCCATGCCCCCCCCCCCCCCCTCCTTCACACACAAATTCAGACAGCTGATGTTCTGAAAGAGCTGCAAAATCTGGACCCCTACAAGTCATCTGGGCTAGCCAATCTGGACCCTTTCTTTCTCAAATTAGCCACCGAAATTGTCACAACCCCTATTCCTAGACAGTTCAACCTCTCTTTCGTAATGTCTGAGATCCCCAGAGATTGGAAAGCTGCCGCGGTCATCCCCCTCTTCAAAGGGGGTGACACTCTAGATCAAAACTGTTACAGACCTATATCCATCCTGGCCTGCCTTTCGAAAGTTTTTGAAAGGCAAGTTAACAAACAGATCACCGACCATTTCGAATCCCACCGTACCTTCTCCGCTATGCAATCCAGTTTCCGAGCTGGTCATGGGTGCACCTCAGCCATGCTCAAGGTCCTAAATGATATTATAACTGCGATCGATAATAGACAGTACTGTGCAGCCGTCTTCATCGACCTGGCCAAGGCTTTCAACTCTGTCAACCACCGCATTCTTATTGGCAGACTAAATAGCCTTGGTTTCTCAAATGACTGCCTCGCCTGGTTCACCAACTACTTCTCAGATAGTTCAATGTGTCAAATCGGAGGGCCTGTTGTCTGGACCTATGGCAGTCTCTATGGGGGTGCCACAGGGTTCAATATTTGGGTCGAGTCTTTTCTCTGTGTATATCAATGATGTCGCTCTTGCTGCTGGTGACTCTCAGATCCACCTCTATGCAGATGACACCATTTTGTATACATCTGGCGCTTCATTGGACACTGTGTTAACAAACCTCCAAACGAGCTTCAATGCCATACAACACTCCTTCAGTAGCCTCCAACTGCACTTAAACACTAGTAAAACTAAATGCATGCTCTTCAATCGAACGCTGCTGGCACCCGCCCACCCGACTAGAATTACTACTCTCGACGGGTCTGACCTAGAGTATGTGGACAACTACAAATACCTAGGTGTCTGGTTAGACTGTAAACTCTCCTTCCAGACTCACATTAAGCATCTCCAATCCAAAGTTAAATCTAGAATCGGCTTCCTATTTCACAACAAAGCCACCTTCACTCATGCTGCCAAACATGCCCTCGTAAAACTTACTGTCCTACCGATCCTTGACTTCGGCGATGTCATTTACAAAATAGCCTCCAACACTCTACTCAGCAAATTGGATGTAGTCTATCACAGTGCCATCCGTTTTGTCACCAAAGCCCCATATACTACCCACCACTGTGACCTGTACGCTCTTGTTGGCTGGTCCTCACTACATATTTGTCGCCAAACCCACTGACTCCAGGCCATCTATAAATCACTGCTAGGCAAATCCCCGCCTTATCTTAGCTCATTGGTCACCATAGCAACACCCATCCGTAGTATGCGCTCCAGCAGGTATATTTCACTGGTCATCCCCAAAGCCAACACCTCCTTTGGCCGCCATTCCTTCCAGTTCTCTGCTGCCAATGACTGGAACGAATTGCAAAAATCTCTGAAGCTGGAGACTCTTATCTCCCTCACTAACTTTAAGCATCAGTTGTCAGAGCACCTTACCGATCACTGTACCTGTACACAGCCCATCTGAAATTAGCCCACCCAACTACCTCAACCCCATATTGTTATTTATTTTGCTCATTTGCACCCCAGTATCTCTATTTGCACATCATCTCTTGCACATCTATCATTCCAGTGTTAATACTAAATGTAATTATTTTGCACTATGGCCTATTTATTGCCTTACCTCCATAACTTGCTACATTTGCACACAGTGTATATATAATTTCTGTTGTATTTTTGACTTTATGTTTTGTTTTACCCCATATGTAACTCTGTGTTGTTGTTTTTATCGCACTGCTTTGCTTTATCTTGGCCAGGTCGCAGTTGTAAATGAGAACTTGTTCTCAACTGGCTTGTTCATCACTAAGCTAAGGATCCTGGGACTAAACACCTCCCTCTGCAACTGGACCCTGGACTTCCTGACGGGCCGCCCCCAGGTGGTAAGGGTAGGTAACAACACATCTGCCACACTGATCCTCAACACGGGGGCCCCTCAGGGGTGCGTGCTCAGTCCCCTCCTGTACTCTCTGTTCACCCATGACTGCATGGCCAGGCACGACTCCAACACCATCATTAAGTTTGCCGACGACACAACAGTGGTAGGCCTGATCACCGACAACGATGAGACAGCCTATAGGGAGGAGGTCAGAGACCTGGCCGTGTGGTGCCAGGACAACAACCTCTCCCTCAATGTGACCAAGACAAAGGAGATGATTGTGGACTACAGGAAAAAAAAGAGGACTGAGCACGCCCCCATTCTCATCGACGGGGCTGTAGTGGAACAGGTTGAGAGCTTCAAGTTCCTTGGTGTCCACATCACCAACAAACTATCATGGTCCAAACACACCAAGACAGTCGTGAAGAGGGCACGACAAAGCCTATTCCCCCTCAGGAGACTGAAAAGATTTGGCATGGGTCCTCAGATCCTCAAAAAAATTCTACAGCTGCACCATCGAGAGCATCCTGACTGGTTGCATCACCGCCTGGTATGGCAACTGCTTGGCCTCCGACCGCAAGGCACTACAGAGGGTAGTGCGTACGGCCCAGTACATCACTGGGGCCAAGCTTCCTGCCATCCAGGACCTCTATACCAGGCGATGTCAGAGGAAGGCCCTCAAAATTGTCAAAGACTCCAGCCATCCTAGTCATAGACTGTTCTCTCTGCTACCGCACGGCAAGCGGTACCGGAGTGCCAAGTCTAGGTCCAAAAGACTTCTCAACAGCTTCTACCCCCAAGCCATAAGACTCCTGAACAGCTAATCATGGCAACCCGGACTATTTGCACTGCCCCCCCACCCCATCCTTTTTACGCTGCTGCCACTCTGTTAATTATTTATGCATAGTCACTTTAACTCTACCCACATGTACATATTACCTCAACTACCTCAACTAGCCGGTGCCCCCACACATTGACTCTGCAACGGTACCCCCCTGTATATATAGCCTCCCTACTGTCACTTTATTTTACTTCTGCTCTTTTTTCTCTCAACACTTTTTTTGTTGTTGTTTTATTTGTACTTTTTTTGTTAAAAATAAATGCACTGTTGGTTAAGGGCTGTAAGTAAGCATTTCACTGTAATGTCTGCACCTGTTGTATTCGGCGCATGTGACCAATAACATTTGATTTGATTTGATTTACCTGGTTAAATAAAGGTTAAATAAATAAATAAATAAAATAAAATAAAAAAAGTTGTTTTTTTGCACTCAGCCATTGTAGGCCTAACTCATCATAATAAAGTCAGTATTGAATCCACTTAGCTAGATTGTTTTGCATTTCTGTATAATACTGTAATTTAGATAACTGTGTGCTGCCACTGTGTAGTGTAGCCTTTGTCCAACTTGTTGACGCTGCTGCTTGAGTGAACGGTGTTAAACGCTGACGTCACAGTTCTATACAAGACTTCACGGGCGTCCACGTTGGGGAACATGCGCGCAGCTGATCTTTCTTTATTTGCCAGGAAAAGATGGCAGCGTCCGTGTGCCGAGTCGGGAGCACCGTGGGTCGAGCCCTCGCCAAAGCCCGTAGCGTAAGTATTTAGGAACATCTTGGCATTTGAGGGGTCTGTAAGGAAAATAACGTTGTTTGTTGGGATCTGCATTTCATTCACTACAGTGAAAAAAGTAGGCCCCTGTGTAGGCTGTAGCAGAAGTATGTCTCTGGCTGAAGCTCGTTAGCTAGCTATCCTGCCAAAGTGATAGCTAGCCGGTTAGCATTATCTTGGAGTTAGCGCAAGGTCAACTGTCAGGAAAGGGGCAATAATTCACTGTAGATTACGTCATATGAGTGGAAACCTTGACATCCATGTTAGTTAACCTATACCTGCGTTACTTTATTCGCTTTTAAGAACTAACACAATGTCATTTTCACCATCTTCAGCGTTGTCCTTAGCTATTTGCCAAACCAGTTAGCTAGCACGTTAACTACCTCTCGTCCAGCTAAATGCTGACAGTAGTCGACCAGTTGCGTTGCTGACTGGTAATCAAATTCCACTGGCCATATGTTAAATTGAACTCGCAAGATGGTCATTATGTGATCTTAGCTAACTAGGAAGTTTGTTTCTTTTGACTTCAAACTGTAGAGTGCTGCTAGGCTCGCTAACTGGTTAAGTGTTTTCTTGAAGGACCCTCACTCAAGATTAAAATAGCCCCTCCTTAACGTTACCTCCAATTTAGCTAGCTAAGGTCGACAGGCTGTACGTGTAAATTGGTGACTCACTGTTATTGTGGGATCAAGTCAGCAGATCACCCCACAAGCACTTTCTCTTGTCCTTTTAACCTTTTTATTGGCCATGATGACATTGAGGTGATAGGGAGTTGGTAAAAAATGCATCATTTTGCTGTCTCTTCATCCCATTACTACTGATGATTTCAGCAATTTCATACATGTTATTCGTACACCAGCTGTAGTCTTTATCAACACAACCAAATCAACGTACTATTTGCTGAAAAATCTTGTCACAGCCACACGGTGTTGTAGGCTAACTATCCTCTCCCTCTAGCCCATCCTGCTGTCTCTACGGCGTGGCCAGGCGACTGTGACCTATGCCCAGAGCCTTCTAGGAGCTCCGGAGACCCGCCTCAGTGCCCTGGACAATGGCCTGAGGATCGCATCTGAGGAGACTGGACACGGCACATGCACTGTAAGGACCTCCGCTGTGTCATTGATCATACAATCTAAGTACTGTTCTTGATGGTTTTGGGAAACATTGCATAATAGTCACATTTCAGATTAACCTGACTGTCTATTTGTTGGCGTGGCATGGTATAAGTTCCACCTCTACTCTCTCTCAGGTTGGGCTGTGGATCAGCTGTGGAAGTCGCTATGAGACTGAGAAGAACAATGGAGCTGGGTTCTTCCTGGAGCATATGGCTTTCAAGGTACACAACCGCTGTGACATCTGTGCAATCTACCTTGAGTCTCATAAGGGATTTCATACTCAACTACTGCACCAGACTGGCCCAAAACGGTTTCTTACACTTTTCTGTTCTCCCCCCTTTTCCCTTTGTTTATTTTCCCCAGGGGACAAAGAAGCACCCCCAGATGGCCCTGGAGCAGCAGGTGGAGTCCATGGGCGCTCACCTTAGTGCATACACTTCCCGGGAGCACACTGCCTACTACATGAAGACCCTGGCCAAAGACCTGCCCAAAGGTGAGCCAACCAGATACCCTACACTAAAAAATCAAATCAAATCAAATTTTATTGGTCACATGCGCCGAATACAACAGGTGCAGACATTACAGTGAAATGCTTACTTACAGCCCTTAACCAACAGTGCATTTATTTTAAACAGAAAAAGTAAGAATAAAACAACAAAAAAGTGTTGAGAAAAAAAGAGCAGAAGTAAAAATAAAGTGACAGTAGGGAGGCTATATATACAATAGAATAAAGTGACAGTAGGGAGGCTATATATACAGGGGGGTACCGTTGCATAGTCAATGTGCGGGGGCACCGGCTAGTTGAGGTAGTTGAGGTAATATGTACATGTGGGTAGAGTTAAAGTGACTATGCATAAATACTTAACAGAGTAGCAGCAGCGTAAAAAGTATGGGGTGGGGGGGCAGTGCAAATAGTCCGGGTAGCCATGATTAGCTGTTCAGGAGTCTTATGGCTTGGGGGTAGAAGCTGTTGAGAAGTCTTTTGGACCTAGACTTGGCACTCCGGTACCGCTTGCCGTGCGGTAGCAGAGAGAACAGTCTATGACTAGGGTGACTGGAGTCTTTGACAATTTTGAGGGCCTTCCTCTGACACCGCCTGGTATAGAGGTCCTGGATGGCAGGGAGCTTTGCCCCTGTGATGTACTGGGCCGTACGCACTACCCTCTGTAGTGCCTTGCGGTCAGAGGCCAAGCAGTTGCCATACCAGGCGGTGATGCAACCAGTCAGGATGCTCTCGATGGTGCAGCTGTAGAATTTTTTGAGGATCTGAGGACCCATGCCAAATCTTTTTAGTCTCCTGAGGGGGAATAGGCTTTGTCGTGCCCTCTTCACGACTGTCTTGGTGTGTTTGGACCATGATAGTTCGTTGGTGATGTGGACACCAAGGAACTTGAAGCTCTCAACCTGTTCCACTACAGCCCCGTCGATGAGAATGGGGGCGTGCTCAGTCCTCTTTTTTTTCCTGTAGTCCACAATCATCTCCTTTGTCTTGGTCACGTTGAGGGAGAGGTTGTTGTCCTGGCACCACACGGCCAGATCTCTGACCTCCTCCCTATAGGCTGTCTCATCGTTGTCGGTGATCAGGCCTACCACTGTTGTGTCGTCGGCAAACTTAATGATGGTGTTGGAGTCGTGCCTGGCCATGCAGTCATGGGTGAACAGAGAGTACAGGAGGGGACTGAGCACGCACCCCTGAGGGGCCCCCGTGTTGAGGATCAGTGTGGCAGATGTGTTGTTACCTACCCTTACCACCTGGGGACGGCCCGTCAGGAAGTCCAGGATCCAGTTGCAGAGGGAGGTGTTTAGTCCCAGGATCCTTAGCTTAGTGATGAGCTTTGAGGGCACTATGGTGTTGAATGCTGAGCTGTAGTCAATGAATAGCATTCTCACGTAGGTGTTCCTCTTGTCCAGTTGGGAAAGGGCAGTGTGGAGTGCGATAGAGATTGCATCATCTGTGGATCTGTTGGGGCGGTATGCAAATTGGAGTGGGTCTAGGGTTTCTGGGATTATGCTGTTGATGTGAGCCATGACCAGTCTTTCAAAGCACTTCATGGCTACAGACGTCAGTGCCACGGGTCGGTAGTCATTTAGGCAGGTTATCTTAGAGTTCTTGGGCACGGGGACTATGGTGGTCTGCTTGAAACATGTTGGTATTACAGACTCAGTCAGGGACATGTTGAAAATGTCAGTGAAGACACTTGCCAGTTGGTCAGCACATGCTCGGAGTACACGTCCTGGTAATCCGTCTGGCCCTGCGGCCTTGTGAATGTTGACCTGCTTAAAAGTCTTACTCACATCGGCTACGGAGAGCGTGATCACATAGTCGTCCGGAACAGCTGGTGCTCTCATGCATGCTTCAGTGTTGCTTGCCTCGAAGCGAGCATAGAAGTGGTTTAGCTCGTCTGGTAGGCTTGTGTCACTGGGCAGCTCGCGGCTGTGCTTCCCTTTGTAGTCTGTAATAGTTTTCAAGCCCTTCCACATCCGACGAGCGTCAGAGCCAGTGTAGTATGATTCAATCTTAGACCTGTATTGACTCTTTGCCTGTTTGATGGTTCGTCGGAGGTCATAGCGGGATTTCTTATAAGCGTCCGGGTTAGAGTCCCGTTCCTTGAAAGCGGCAGCTCTACCCTTTAGCTCAGTGCGGATGTTTCCTGTAATCCATGGCTTCTGGTTGGGGTATGTACGTACGGTCACTGTGGGGACGACATCATCGATGCACTTATTGATGAAGCCAGTGACTGATGTGGTGTACTCCTCAATGCTGTCTGAAGAATCCCGGAACATGTTCCAGTCTGTGCTAGCAAAACAGTCCTGTAGCTTAGCATCTGCGTCATCTGACCACTTTTTTATTAGCCGAATCACTGGTGCTTCCTGCTTCAGTTTTTGCTTATAAGCAGGAATCAGGAGGATAGAGTTATGGTCAGATTTGCCAAATGGAGGGCGAGGGAGAGCTTTGTATGCGTCTCTGTGTGTGGAGTAAAGGTGGTCTAGAGTTTTTTCCCCTCTGGTTGCACATTTAACATGCTGGTAGAAATTAGGTAGAACGGATTTAAGTTTCCCTGCATTAAAGTCCCCTGCTACTAGGAGCGCTGCATCTGGATGAGCGTTTTCCTGTTGATTAATGGCCTTGTACAACTCATTCAGTGCAATCTTAATGCCAGCATTGGTTTGTGGTGGTAAATAGACAGCTATGAAAAATATAGATGAAAACTCTCTTGGTAAATAGTGTGGTCTGCAGCTTATCATAAGATACTCTACCTCAGGCGAGCAAAACCTTGAGACTTCCTTAGTATTTGATTTGGTGCACCAGCTGTTGTTTACAAATATACAGAGACCGCCACCCCTCGTCTTACCCGAGTCTGCCGTTCTGTCCTGCCGATGTAGCGTATAGCCTGCTAGCTGAATGTTATCATTGTCGTCGTTCAGCCACGACTCCGTGAAACATAAGATATTACAGTTTTTAATGTCCCGTTGGTAGGATAACCGTAATCTTAAATCGTCCATTTTATTCTCCAAAGCTTGAACGTTGGCTAATAGGATTGATGGGAGAGGCAGTTTACTCGTTCGCCGTCGGATCCTTACAAGGCACCCCGACCTACGTCCACGATATCTCCGTCTTTCCTAAAGAATGACGGGGATCTGGCCTTGCAGTCGTAGAATATCTTGCGAACCCTCGTGAAGAAAAAGTTTCGTACGAGGTGAGTATCGCGTCCGATATCGAAGCTCTCTTTTATAAGAGACGTGCAGAAACATAAAACAAATTACAATAACGCGGAAGAAACACCATAATAGTACAATGGGAGGCTGTAAAAGCAGCCATCTTTTCGGCGATGTATGAGATACACTACAGACATACCTACTACCCTGCATAGCAGACACTTCAATGAGACAGGAATAAGGAATGGAGACCGTTTTATAAGATGTGAGAATTCAATTGTGTGTATGTGGGGTGGGGTTCTTATAAGCCCCTCTAGTCATAGAGATTGAGTGTGTTTGTTTATATAGTTGTAAAGCTACTGTTGCCTTTTGGTAAATTATACTGAACAAAAATAAACGCAACATACAACAATTTCAAAGATTTGACTGAGTTAGTTCATATAAGGAAATCAGTTAATTGAAATAAATTCATTAGGCCCTAATATATGGATTACACATGACTGGGCAAGGGTGCAGCCATGGGTGGGCCTGGGAGGGCATAGGCCCACCCACTTAGCAGCCAGGCCCATCCACTGGGGAGCCAGGCCCAGCCAATTAGAATGATTTTTCTCCACAAAAGGGCATTATTACAGACAGAAATACTCCCCACCCCACCTCAGACAATCCCGCATGTGAAGAAGCTGGATGTGGAGGTCCTGGTCTGACGTGGTTACACATGGTCTGCGGTTGTGAGGCCGGTTGGCCGTACTTCCAAATTCTCTAAAACTACGTTGGAGGCAGCTTATGGTAGAGAAATTAATTTATCTGGCAACAGCTCTAGTGGACATTCCTGCAGTCAGCATGCAAATTTCACGCTCCAACAAAACTTGAGACGTTTGTGGCATTGTGTTGTGTGACAAAACTGCACATTTTAAAGTGGCCTTTTATTGTCGCCAGCACAAGGTGCACCTGAGTAATGATCATACTGTTTAATCGGCTTGATATGTCACACCTGTCAGGTGGATGGATTATATTGGCAAAAGGGAAATGCTCACTAATAGGGATGTAAACAAATTTGTGCAAAATATGAGAGAAATAAGCTTTTTGTGCATATGGAAAATTTCTGGGACTTATTTCAGCTGATGAAACATGGGACCAACACTTTATATGTTGTGTTTATTTTGGTTCAGGATAGTTTACCGTGCATGTCCTCTAGTAGTTCTTTTCGTGGCTATGTATGTGTGTACTGAAGTAGTCCTCTCTCCCCAGCGGTGGCGCTGTTATCCGAGGTGCTGCAGAGCAATGCCCTGAGCGAGGCTGACATTGAGCAGCAGAGGAGTGTGGTGCTGAGAGAGCTGGAGGAGGTGGAGGGCAGTCTGCAGGACGTGTGTCTGGACCTGCTGCACGCTACAGCTTTCCAGGGCACCCCCCTTGGACACAGTGTTCTGGGGCCATCCCAAAATGCCAGGTACACACACACACAGAGCCTACCAGGGAATCTTATTGGGTCAGAGCATGCTAGGGCCAAGCCAGAACACTAGGGAAACTCCCACATACACTTTACAGCATCCTGTTACATTTCACAGCACTCCCAGTTAGTTTAGTAGTATCGATCTGTCTCTTCCCTTCAGGACTTTGAGTCGACAGGATCTGGTAGATTTCATCAGCAGCCACTACAAGGCCCCCCGCATGGTGCTGGCAGCTGCTGGAGGTATGTCTCCCATACATTAACACTGCCATCTTAAGGCTGTTTAGAGAGGTATTAAATGCCAATACAAACCGGCCCTGATTGATTGTTTTGTGTGTGTAATGTCGTCCTTGTTTGTAATGGCTCACTGCCTGCCTCCTGTATAGGTGTGACTCACGAGGAGCTGGTTGGGTTGGCCAAGCAGCACTTCAGTGGCGTTTCCTTTGAGTACGAGGATGATGCTGTTCCTGTTCTGTCCCCCTGCCGCTTCTCTGGCAGCGAGGTGAGCGCTCCTGTGTGTGTCCGAATTGACAGATGTCTGAACAGGGAGCAAGTATCCCATCAGAGCTTTTTTTTTTACCCCCTTTTTCTCCCCAATTTCGTGATTACGATCTTGTCTCATCGCTGCAACTCCCCAATGGGCTCGGGAGAGGCGAAGGTTGAGTCATGCGTCCTCCGAAACATGACCTGCCAAACCGTGCTTCTTAACACCCACTCGCTTAACCCGGAAGCCAGCTGCACCAATGTGTCTGAGGAAACACTGTTCAGCTGACGACCGAAGTCAGCCTGCAGGCGCCCGGCCTGCCACAAGGAGTCGCTAGAGCGCGATGAGCAAAGTAAAGCCTCCCCTAACCCGGACGACGCTGGGCCAATTGTGCGCTGCCCTATGGGACTCCCGGTCACAGCCGGTAATGATGCAGTGCCTTCGACCGCTACGCTACTCGGGAGGCCCAGAGCTTTTCTTCTTTGTTCTATTTGGAATGTTCATATTGTTAACCCTGCGTTGTCTCCCTCTTTGTAGATCCGCATGCGCGATGACGATATGCCCCTGGCACACATTGCCATCGCTGTGGAGGGTGCCAGTGCTGCCAGCCCAGACATAGTGCCCCTCATGGTGGCCAACTCTATCATTGGCAGTTATGACATCACTTTCGGTGGTGGAAAGCACCTGAGCAGCCGCCTGGCTCGTCTAGCCTCAGAGGAGAGTCTGTGCCACAGCTTCCAGGCCTTCCACTCCTCCTACAGCGACACTGGTCTGCTGGGCATCTATTTTGTCACCGACAAACACCACATCGATGACATGATGCACTGGTCACAGAACGCATGGTTAGTTGTGATTTTACATACACTCAAACGCTATACATGGATACACTCCTGGTCCAACACTTGTCCTCAGCCTGTGTACTTTTACATATTTAATTTGATGGTATTGACCCTCCTTTTTCTTTCGCTCTCCCTGAAGGATGAACATGTGCACCACAGTGACTGAGAGTGACATTGCCAGAGCCAAGAATGTCCTCAAGGCCAGCCTGGTGGGACAGCTCAACGGTAAGATCTCTACCTACTCATGTAGCCTATCAGAAACTTAAATGGAAATGTCAAAAAATGTCTACTTCATATTCATCATCTCCAGCACCACCCCAACATCAACATGTGAAAATGGCACTTTTCTATGTTTTGTAGTAAAAGAGGAAGATAAGTGTTTCCAATGACATCGGTATGCATGATGTGATTTTAACCAATTATGAGTAGGTGTGGCGCCTTAGGGGATGGCTTCAATTTTATGGGCTCTTAACCAACTCTGCTATTTTGTTAGTTTTTTTTGCATTGTTTGTAACTTATTTTGTATATAATGTTGCTGCTACCGTCTCTTATGACCGAAAAATAGCTTCTGGACATCAGAACAGTGATTACTCACCTTGAACTGGACAAATAATTTTTCTTTAATGAGTCGGACGAGAGGAATTTGCTGCAGACACCCGACAGTGCCCTCATCCCCGTCATTCACAGTAGAAAGAGACAGAGATATCGCGGAAGGAGATCGGGGTGCCTGGTAAGGAGCCGGCGACGAGTGGTTAATCTGCCTTTGCCATCGATACCATTGGCCAACATACAATCGCTTGATAATAAAGTGGACAAACTACAAGCATGTATATTCTACCAACGGGACATTAAAAACGGTAATATCTTATGTTTCAACAAGTCGTGGCTGAACGACGACATGAATAACATACAGCTGGCGGGTTATACACTGTATCGGCAGGATAGAACAGCAGCCTCTGGTAAGACAAGGGGTGGCGGTCTATGTATATTTGTAAACAACAGCTGGTGCACGATAACTAAGGAAGTCTCAAGGTTTTGCTCGCCTGAGGTAGAGTTTCTCATGATAAGCTGTAGACCACACCATCTACCAACAGAGTTGATCTATATTCTTCGTAGCTGTCTATTTACCACCACAAACCGATGCTGGCACTAAGACCGCACTCAATGAACTGTATACGGCCATAAGTAAACAGGAAAACGCTCATCCAGAGGCGGCGCTCCTAGTAGCCGGGGACTTTAATGCAGGGAAACTTACATCCGTTCTACCTCATTTCTACCAGCATGTTAAATGTGCAACCAGAGGGGCAAAAAAACAACTAAAGACCACCTTTACTCCATACACAGAGACGCGTACAAAGCTCTCCCTCGCCCTCCATTTGGCAAATCTGACCATAATTCTATCCTCCTGATTCCCGCTTACAAGCAAAAACTAAAGCAGGAAGCACCAGTGACTCTGTCAATAAAAAAAGTGGTCAGGTGAAGCATATGCTAAGCTACTGTTTTGCTAGCACAGACTGGAATATGTTCCGGGATTCTTCCGGTTGCATTGAGGAGTACACCACATCAGTTACTGGCTTCATCAATAAGTGCATCGATGACGTCATCCCCACAGTGACTGTACGTACATACCCCAACCAGAAGCCATGGATTACAGGCAACATCCGCACTGAGCTAAAGGGTAGAGCTGCCGCTTTCAAGGAGTTTATAAGAAATCCCGCTATGCCCTCCGACGAACCATCAAACAGGCAAAGCGTCAATACAGGACTAAGATCGAATCGTATTACACCAGCTCCGACGCTCGTCTGATGTGGCAGGGCTTGCAAACTATTACAGACTACAAAGGGAAGCACAGCTGCAAGCTGCCCAGTGACACAAGCCTACCAGACGAGCTAAATTACTTCTATGCTTGCTTCGAGGCAAGTAACACTGAAACATGCATGAGAGCATCAGCTGTTCCGGAAGACTGTGTGATCACGCTCTCCGTAGCCGATGTGAGTAAGACCTTTTAAACAGGTCAACGTTCACAAGGCCGCAGTGCCAGACGGATTACCAGGACGTGTACTCCGAGCATGCGCTGACCAACTGGCAAGTGTCTTCACTGACATTTTCAACCTCTCCCTGTCTGTAATACCAACAAGTTTCAAGCAGACCACCATAGTCCCTGTGCCCAAGAACACTAAGGTAACCTGCCTAAATGACTTACCGACCCATAGCACTCACGTCTGTAGCCATGAAGTGCTTTGAACGGCTGGTCATGGCTCACATCAATACCATTATCCCAGAAACCCTAGACCCACTCCAATTTGCATACCGCCCCAACAGATCCACAGATGATGCAATCTCTATTGCTCTCCACACTGTACCTTTCCCACCTGGACAAAAGGAACACCTATGTGAGAATGCTATTCATTAACTACAGCTCAGCGTTCAACACCATAGTGCCCTCAAAGCTCATCACTAAGCTAAGGGCCCTGGGACTAAACACCTCTCTCTGCAACTGGATCCTGGACTTCCTGACGGGCCGCCCCCAGGTGGTAAGGGTAGGTAACAACACATCTGCCACGCTGATCCTCAACTCTGGGGTGCGTGCTCAGTCCCCTCCTGTACTCCCTGTTCACTCATGACTGCATGGCCAGGCATCACCAACAAACTGTCATGGTCCAAACACACCAAGACAGTCGTGAAGAGGGCACGACAAAGCCTATTCCCCTTCAGGAAACTGAAAAGATTTAGCATAGGTCCTCAGATCCTCAAAGAATTATACAGCTGCATCCTGACTGGTTGCATCACCGCCTGGTATGGCAACTGCTCTGCCTCCGACCGCAAGGCACTACAGAGGGTAGTGCGTACAGCTCAGTACATCACTGGGGCCAAGCTTCCTGCCATCCAGGACCTCTATACCAGGCGGTGTCAGAGGAAGGCCCTAAAAATTATCAAAGACTCCAGCCACCCTAGTCATAGACTTTTCTCTCTGCTACCGCATGGCAAGCGGTACCGGAGTGCCAAGTCTAGGTCCAAAAGGCTTCTTAACAGCTTCTAAACCCCAAGCCATAAGACTCCTGAACAGCTAATCATGGCTACCCGGACTATTTGCATTTCAATCTCTTTGTGTGCTAATACTGTATTATACATTTTTTACATTTACATTTTCGTCATTTAGCAGATGCTCTTATCCAGAGCGACTTACAAATTGGTGCATTCACCTTATGAGGAACAACCACTTTACAATATATATATTTTTATATTTTTATTTTTGGGGTTGGGGTAAGGGGGGGTAGAAGGATTACTTTATCCTATCCCAGGTATTCCTTAAAGAGGTGGGGTTTCAAATGTCTCCGGAAGGTGGTGAGTGACTCCGCTGTCCTGGCGTCGTGAGGGAGCTTGTTCCACCATTGGGGTGCCAGGGCAGCGAACAGTTTTGACTGGGCTGAGCGGGAACTATGCTTCCGCAGAGGTAGGGGAGCCAGCAGGCCAGAGGTGGATGAACGCAGTGCCCTCGTTTGGGTGTAGGGACTGATCAGTGCCTGGAGGTACGGAGGTGCCGTTCCCCTCACAGCTCCGTAGGCAAGCACCATGGTCTTGTAGCAGATGCGAGCTTCAACTGGAAGCCAGTGGAGTGTGCGGAGGAGCGGGGTGACGTGAGAGAACTTGGGAAGGTTGAACACCAGACGGGCTGCGGCATTCTGGATGAGTTAAAGGGCTTGTAAGTAAGTGTTTCACTAAGGTCTGCACCTGTTGTATTCGGCGCGTGTGACAAATACAATTTGGTTTGTTGCCTACTAATTGTCTTCTAATTGGTTGATGTCATGGGAAACACTCATCTTCCTCTTTTACTACAAAACAAAGAAACGTGCCTTTTTCACATATGTTGATGGTGCTGGAGATGATGAAAAAATTTTACTACTCCCTGGTCACCACTAACACTGCCTTACTGCTCTCCTGTAGGAACGACACCGATATGTGATGACATCGGCAGGCATGTCCTGAACTATGGCCGCCGTATCCCTCTGGCTGAGTGGGACGCCCGCATCGACGTGAGTACAACCCCCTTCCCTGCGCCATACATACAGCTGTTACACCCTCCTACCACCTAGAGGGTGCTATTTCTCTCTTTCTTTCCCTCTGAATTCTTCCCCCAACCGCCACTGCATTCACCCACGTTCTTCCTACCACCTTTGTCCCCCCCCCGCAGGCTGTGACTCCCAGGATGGTGCGTGACGTCTGCTCCAAATACATCTATGACAAGTGTCCCGCTGTGTCTGCTGTTGGTAAGTTACCACTAGGGATTTTGACGGTTAATCGGTTAGCTGCCGTGTTTTTTCGTAGTCGTCATGTATCTTATCACATGCGCTCAGCATACAGAGCCTAGTTTGAGAATAGGAATAGCCTATCACATGTCAGACAGCGCAAGAGCAGCTCCTGAAAAAGCTGGTACTGGTGTGAAACGTGCTTTTGTAAGCCCAGTCGTTGCGCAACAAATAACAATTCTAAGTGCAATTGCGTGTATAACAGTTGATGGCCATGATTTAAAGAGCTACTTCTTTATTTTTCAACACATAATTAAAGCGCACCTCCCATTAGCGTGCATAGACACTAGTCAACGGTAGGCTATCAGCGAGTCACCCACCACTTTGCAATGTGACCTTGCAGTATAATTGTTTGAAACCTGAACGTTTTACTTTACTTCAAAACCTTGCTTCAAAGTAGCCTTGCCAAAATCCAACCATAGAAACGTGGAGGCAATTATTTTATAAAGACTTTCTCTTGACATTAACCAGCATTTCTCTCCTGTTCTATTGGTTTTCATATCAACTTTGCATGTTAAATAATAGCCTTTTGACTGTAAGACGATAGGCTTGCTATTGTTGCATGTTTCCATTAAGCGCTTAATGAAAAATGGCACTTCCTTTTATGCATGCATAATAGTTTTTTGGTCACATTTATCAGTTTGTTGACCGGTTAATGAGGGTCGGTAATTCGGCAGCAAAATTGACCGAAATTTGCATCCCTAGTTACCACACATCATCATTATTCCTTCCAAGCAGCCTTTGCACCTTAATCCTCTTGTCCAGGATAGAGTCTGGAAGTCCAGCTAGTGGCAACCTAGCTTTGTAATGTTCTTATTCCTCAACCCTTCTCTCATCTCTCTGTCTGTCTTTCTCTCTGTTCTACAGGCCCCATTGAGCAGCTGCCTGACTACAACAGAATGCGCAGTGCCATGTACTGGCTCCGCTTCTAAGGTTCCCCATAGTGTTGCTCTCTGAGTGTCCGACGTCTTCTCTTCCTTCCACGCTCCTCCACTCCCATACTCCTCCCATCACTGCAAGAGGAAAGAACCAAGGACTGCCTCAGCTCATTAGCACAGACCGGTATCGACTCCAGGCCTCCTCCCCATCTCTCTCCTCTCACTACATTAGTTCTAGTTGGTTATGAGAGAACCGCGGTGTTGAGGGTGTGCATAAGTTGAGTGTTCCATTTCCTTGTAATTTTCATTGATGATCTTGAGAAAGATTGTAATACAGAAGATTCTTGTTAATATCACTGAGCCTTTTCATGCACCTGGTACTGTTCTGGGGAGGGGATAGAGGGGGACACCTGAACACATCCAGTGATGCATATACTGTAAAATCATGGCACTGTACAATCAGTTGTGGAGAAGTATTTATGAATTGATGTAATGTTTTGTTTATGTCCTATTGTACATAACAGAAGCTCATTCTGACATATTAAAATAAAACATTGTAACAGTGTCCCATACAGAATTAGATTAGTAAGAATTAACATTTTATGATCTATCCTTGTTTTGGGATCAATAGCCATCTATGAAAGGCTGGCCATAATTCCAGTATTTAGTTAGTCTTTGTTCAACTTCAGCCACAATAGTTGGGTTAAAACTCATGTTCCTCTAAGAGTTGAGCTGCAGGGACCACTTCTATCCACCAGAGGGACAAGATGACTCCAGTATGAACTGATATTCTAATACTGTCAATGGTATGAACATGCTTTATTGAAGAGGGAGGAGATTACCAGTCATGATATGAAATATGCTAATGTGACATCTTCCAATGTATGAAATCTTTGACCTATGAATATCAAATGTAAAGTAGATTACAGATCTCCCATTGTGGCTGATAGAATATCTGTAATTGCCTGGATGCCCACCCACGAGCATTACCGCTCCTTCCCACAGATTACGCATGATCAGTTAGATAAAATGATAACATTGCTATGACTGAGGCACGAGTGACGTGACACCCCATCTATCACTGAGGAAGAGTAAACCCAAGCGATAAGTAACTACACTGAACAAAAATATAAATGCAACAATGTAAAAGATTTTACTGAGTTACAGTTCATAAGGAAATGAGTCAATTAAAATGAATGCATTAGTCCCTAATCTATGGATTTCACATGACTGGGAATACAGATGCCTTAAAAGAAAGTTGGGGCGTGGATAAAAAAAACAGTATCTGGTGTGACCATTTGCCTCATGCAGCTCGACATCTCCTTCGCATAGAAGGCTGTTGATTGTGGCCTGTGCAATGTTGTCCCACTCCTCTTCACTGGCTGTGCGAAGTTGCTGGATATTGGCGGGACGTCGATCCAGAGCATCCCAAACATGCTCAATGGGGTGACATGTCTGGTGAGTATGCAGGCCATGGAAGAAGTGGGAAATGTTCAGCTTCCAGGAATTGTGTATAGATTCTTGCGACATGGGGCCGTGCATTATCATGCTGAAACATGAGGGGGATGGCGGCGGATGAATGGCACGACAATGGGCCGGCCTCAGGATCTCGTCACGGTATCTCTGTGCATTCAAAATTGCCAGTGATAAAATGCAATTGTGTTCGTTGTCTAGCTTATGCCTGCCCATACCATAACCCCACCGTCTCCATGGGGCAGTCTGTTCACAACATTGACATCAGCAAATAGCTCGCCCACACGACGCCATACACGTCTGCCAGTTACAGTTGAAACCCGGGATTCATCTGTGAAGAGCACACTTCTCGAGCGTGCCAGTGGCCATCGAAGGTGAGCATTTGCCCACTGAAGTCGGTTACGACGCCGAACTGCAGTCAGGTCAAGGACCCTAGTGAGGACGACGAGCACACAGATGAGCTTCCCTGAGATGGTTTCTGACAGTTTGTGCAGAAATTATTTGGTTGTGCAAACCCACAGTTTCATCAGCTGTCTCAGACGATCCCGCAGGATACGAGCCGGATGTGGAGGTCCTGGGCTGCGGTTGTGGGGCCGGTTGGACGTACTGACAAATTCTCTAAAACGACATTGGAGGTGGCATTACATTCTCTGGCAACAGCTCGTGGACATTCCTGCAGTTAGTGTGCCAATTGCACGCTCCCTCAAATCTCTGGCATTGTGTGACAAAACTTCTCATTTTAGTGACCTTTTATTGTCCCCAGCACAAGGTGCACCTGTGTAATGATCATGCTGTTTAATCAGCTTCTTGATATGCCACACCTGTCAGGTGGGTGGATTATCTTGGCAAAGGAGAAATTATCACTAACAGGGATGTAAAGACATTTTTGCAAAAAAAATTAGCGAAATGAAACAATGGACCAACACTTTACATGTTGCGTTATGTATATATATATATATATATATATACACAGTGGGGGGGAAAAGTATTTAGTCAGCCACCAATTGTGCAAGTTCTCCCACTTAAAAATATGAGAGAGGCCTGTAATTTTCATCATAGGTACACGTCAACTATGACAGACAAAATGAGGAAAAAAAATCCAGAAAATCACATTGTAGGATTTTTTATGAATTTATTTGCAAATTATGGTGGAAAATAAGTATTTGGTCAACAAAAGTTTCTCAATACTTTGTTATATACCCTTTGTTGGCAATGACACAGGTCAAACGTTTTCTGTAAGTCTTCACAAGGTTTTCACACTGTTGCTGGTATTTTGGCCCATTCCTCCATGCAGATCTCCTCTAGAGCAGTGATGTTTTGGGGCTGTCGCTGGGCAACACAGACTTAACTCCCTCCAAAGATGTTCTATGGGGTTGAGATCTGGAGACTGGCTAGGCCACTCCAGGACCTTGAAATGCTTCTTACGAAGCCACTCCTTCGTTGCCCGGGCGGTGTGTTTGGGATCATTGTCATGCTGAAAGACCCAGCCACGTTTCATCTTCAATGCCCTTGCTGATGGAAGGAGGTTTTCACTCAAAATCTCACGATACATGGCCCCATTCATTTTTTCCTTTACACAGATCAGTCGTCCTGGTCCCTTTGCAGAAAAACAGCCCCAAAGCATGATGTTTCCACCCCCATGCTTCACAGTAGGTATGGTGTTCTTTGGATGCAACTCAGCATTCTTTGTCCTCCAAACACGACGAGTTGAGTTTTTACCAAAAAGTTATATTATGGTTTCATCTGACATTCTCCCAATCCTCTTCTGGATCATCCAAATGGACTCTAGCAAACTTCAGACAGGCCTGGACATGTACTGGCTTAAGCAGGGGGACACGTCTGGCACTGCAGGATTTGAGTCCCTGGCGGCGTAGTGTGTTACTGATGGTAGGCTTTGTTACTTTGGTCCCAGCTCTCTGCAGGTCATTCACTAGGTCCCCCTCATTTACACTTCAGTGAAGGACTGACTCACTAATGAATGTTTGGTCCAGATGTTATTTTATGATGATACCAGAGTTGACTATGCCTACGTCCCTTGATACTGTATGTCCCGATGCAGTAAAAAATGTTTTTTTTTTTTTACTGACGGCACAAACACATTCCTTCAACCACATCTCCTCTCCCTTTATTTGTGCTTCAACTCCCCACCTCTAAATGCATCTCCCTTATCCCCCCTTCCCTTAAACATACCAATAATAATAATAATAATAATAATAATATTTGACTATTTTCCTGTTCTCAAGATAGTAAATCTACTATCTGCCTCAATGGTGTACTGCAGTTTCGCGGTCTGAACAAGGGCAGGGAAACGGCTAACTTCCTACAATTCTACACATTTTGCCATAGGGGAAAGAGAAAAATATGCAGTTTTAAAGCTAATCTCAATGCTATTCTACACATTTTGCCATTAGGCTGAGAAGAAATGTTGCTGTTTAAAAGCAAATTGCCTGCAATTTACACAATCCATGTCTCAATTTTCTCAAGGCCTAAAAATCCTTCTTTAACCTGTCTCCTCTTTATCTAAACTGATTGAAGTGGATTTAACATGTGACATCAATAAGGGATCATAGCTTTCACCTGGATTCAACTGGAACCTGTGGACCCCCCCCCCTACTTGTGGGCGCGTGTGTTACGTCACTGATCTGCCTGTTCTCACTGTCCAGACATGACTGGCTGTATGGCTAAACCCAACCTGAACCCTTCCCTCAACCTAACCATTCCATGCCTGAAACAACCAATATCAACATGTCATCTGTGAATATGTTCTTCCAATCAGTCATCTCCAGGAACAGAACACAGTTTAATTCATGTCTCAATGCTTAGTCAGAAAAATATGAATTAATTACAGATGAGTTATGGACAAATGGCAGAGAGACAGCTCATTGGGGTTATCTTGTTTGGCATATCTATGAATAAGTGAGCTGGCAACTGGAGGTTGCTGGTATCAAATCCTAAATGCCATTGACTGCCGTTGTGCCCTTGAGCAAGGTGACCCCCAAAACAACTGCTCCACGGGACCCCGGTGTGGCAGCCCCCTGCTCCAACCTCTCCAACCAGGACGCGTGTCTTTCAGAGGGGTTGGGATAAAGCGGAAGTCAAATTTCAGTTAGACCTTGTGTACAATTGATGAATAAAGTGATCTTAATCATCTATGCTCTATCTATGATTCTGGGTCTGCTGGTGAGACTGGATATTCCTTCAGCCATTCAAGCTGTCTCTATTTCAAGCTGTTCCTTTCTGTAGGTACAGAGAGGATAGCTTATGTATCGCCCCCACCCCCCACGGTGAATGATGTGTACATGACCCCCAACTCTGTGTTTACATACAGGGTCACTGACTGAGGCGGGGCCTTCTCTCTGTGGCCCTCAGGGTCCAGTCCCTTGGCTCAGGCTGTGTAAGTAAGACCATGGTTATCATTAGTCAGATGAAGATAATGTCTTGATGGGCTAGATGTGACACAGGAAACGAAAGAGGCTCATCTTCCTTTCTCCTCCTTTCGAGGTTGACAGCCCCATCCAATACATTTTAAGAAAGTTGAAGCTCATTTACTGCATTTCTATGCAATTGAAAAACTCAAAAAAAAGCAAAATAAGCTGAAATGAACCCAGCCATTATCAATCTACAAACAAAAAGCCTATTAGCTATACAATTAGCCACTACACGTTAACTCAGCATCGGGATTAAAAACTATAATTTAATACACACAGAGGGATCTGTTAGCAGAAACACTATTTTATTAACAATAGGTGAACAAATAAGTTTGACTTACAGATCTTCTTGGGGCCAGTTTTACAGCTAATTTCCTGTAATTCTACACATTTTGCCATGGTTTAGGGATAATTTTTTTGAGTTTTAAAGCACATTTCCTGCAATTCTACACATTTTGCCATGGTTTAGGGATACATTTTTGGGGTTTTAAAGCACATTTCCTACAATTCTACACATTTTGCCATGACTTATGCCATGTTAATATGATATCTGAGTGAGGGTGACTAACAAAGTCAATGGTGTTCCCCTGGAGGTCAGGGCCCCTGGGCACGTGCCCTGCGTGTCCGGTTGGTAATTCGGACATGATTACCACATTTTTAGATAGCTGGCTAGATTAACTAGACTAATTTACTGATAATGACATGGGTTAATTGAGTGACTTACAGTGCATTCAGAAA